AGTTGAATTTCTGTCAAATTTTATACCGAATTTATTTAGAATTCGGTCTGATCGAATTTTGTTAAAATTCGATAGTTAAATTTCTGTCAAATTTAGGTCAAATATACTAATAATTCGGCCTAGTCGAATACTTTATGGTCAAATTTTAAAATTTTGAGCCGAATTGACGTTGAATTTTATTGAAATTCGACTTGGTCAAATTTCTAGTTTTCGACTAGTGATGCCCAATGACCAGCAATCAATCAATGTTATCTTCAAGATGCTTGAACAAATGACCCTAGTTAACAATAGTACACAAGCCAATAATATTGAATCCATTCAAAGTAATGATCATGTAAGAATTTTCAACTAATTAATTAATAAATTCAAAAGTAAATTATTAATATACATTATTGTCAACAAAAATTTGCAAGAAAGACTTGGCTGTAAGTGATGACCAAGATGGTCAAAATGTGAAGATTGCTATGAAAATAAAAATAAATTCTATGAATATTGGTGGTAGCTCTGTATGTAAATAAAAAGGTAACAAAGCTCATATCCTTTTATGTGATGGTCCTTGTGGTAAAAATTTCTATACTAGATGTTTAAAAACTCCACTCTCGAGAATTCTTGCTGGAAATTGGAATTATACGAAGTGTGAAAGTGAAATTCAAAGAAATCAAACAGTAAAATACGATCTGATTATTCAAGTTTAGATGAAGTTGATAAACAAAGTGCAAAAAAAATTAAAATTAAAATCAACAAATAACAAAAGAGATGAGACACAACCAGATATATTGGACTCTAACGATGAAGACATTCAGAATATATGAAAATTTTCAAAGAAAACGTAATAGAAAATGTGAGACTTCGTCAGATCCTTTGGGCATTATGTCATGTTTTTGCTATATTTTTGTACATTATTGCTATATAAACAAAAGGTTCAGTTATAAAAAATAAAATTCTGAATGTATCTTATTTAAAGAGACTGAATATCTAAAAATTGCTTCGTCAGCAGCTGAATAAATTCATTCATAATATAATACCAAAATCTATATAGTCGTTGTTGCCATGTTAATTATATGAACTGGAAATTTTGTCAAGCCTTCTGTTAAGTTAGAATAGTGATCAGGGATTACATCTATAATTCTATTAATTAATGACAAATAAATACAATTTTCTTTGCGTTAAACTTTGATATTATATAAATTTTTAGACGCAGCTTTATTTTTGCTAAAAAATTGGTGCCAAAATACTTTTGGCGCAGCCAAAGCTAATTTCTACCCACAGGTCTCAAAGATTCATATGATCATAGATCTAAAATAAAAATTCATAATTTGCTTTGGTATAGTTTTAAAGGACTAGTCATAATTTGGGTCACTTCTATAAACTGCAACTAATGACGATTGACGCAACTATTAATGCGAGTTCGGCCTTATGCAACAACAAATGAATTGTTTTTTATTTTAATTTTATTTTAAAAACTCTGTTAATCGACTTGCTATTGACATTGTAAACTCAATCTTTAACAGTATAGATATATTAGCGAAATAAATACTTTTATAATTTATAATTTTATTATTTATTTATTATTAATTAAATAAAACCTTAATTTATAATTTTT